GCTGGGCTGACAGGGCAGGGCCTGCAGCGGCTGCCCCTGCTTCACCCCGCAGCTTCCCGGCGGGACGAGGCCCCTGGCAGCAGCGCCTTGGTCCGCAGAGCCTGGGTATCGCGGCGCTCAGCRCCCTGGCGCTCACCCGAGCCCTCTCCTGGGCGGGTACAGGAGGCCGCCGCACCTTGAATGCGTTGGATTTTGCTCTACAAGGTTGTTTGGCTGCTTTGCTTACGGATTGGGGGTTTGTTTGTTTGTTTGTCCCGTTTCTGCGTATCTAGGTAAAATACCTCGTTTGGGAAGCGGTGTTGCTGGCAGTAGGTGAAGCGCCCTCGAAAAGCGAGGGAGATGCAGGACGCTGAGGAGGATGACATGGCCTGCGGAGACCTGGGGAACGGGCTCGGCAGGAGGCCTGGCGGCGTCTACGGAGCGGACGCTTCGCAGAGCTCCCGCCTGTCCAGACCTAGGAGAGGGTCCGCCAAGGGCGGCAGCTCCCTCCCCTCAGCCAAGGGAGCCGCGCCAAACGGCCCCGCGGTTCCTCCCGCTCCGAAACAAACCCGCTCTCACGAGGGATCGCCCAGAAAGGCCCGAGTGGGAGCCGCTGGTTGGACCCAGCAAAGCAGCTGTGGTAAGAGCATAGTTATTCACTGTTCACCATCCTCCTCTAAATCTTTCTTCATAAAATTCAGCAGTTCAGCTACTTAACAAGCTCTCTCCAAGTTTAATTCAAGCACTTGCGAGAACACCCCAAATCCCTCAAGATATTAATGGGCGCTAAGATCAGACCCAATGCACTTTACAGGCTGGTTTTTGTAGCCCCAGCACCTTGTTTTGAGTTGCTGTGTGGTTGGAGTTGCAACAGGCAACTTTTTATTTGCAGTAACTCGGTCTGTGGCCCTTTTTAGTGTGAAATGGGTTTTACTTTTGAAAGCGACCTTAAGCAAAGACTCTTTTGACAGGGCAGAAGGGGTAGGCAGAGTTGTTTTTTCTCCATATGTGTATTTGTGTGTTTGAGCATACATATATATGTACGTGAGTAGTATGCATGGATACCAATGGTAAATGTTTATTTAAGGGAATGTTATATTTTATGGAATATTCTGTTGTCCTTCAGCTGGGTCTCCTGAAAATGGTGCATCCATCTAAAAAGTGCTAACACCTGTTCTGTTGATTTTGATTGTTGAAAAGCTACAACTAAAAAAAATACAACCTCCCCCCAAAATTCTTGGAGACAAAATAGCAATTCTATTCTTAGTTTCGTTTATTTTTTTAGAAGAAAAATCTAAAATCATGCTTGTTTTAAATCTCTTTATAACCGATCTTCCTTCCTCCCAACTTGATTTCTTTAAATGCGAATATGTTCGAGTTTAGTATTTTTGTATTTCTTAAATATGCTTATTAGCTCTGGAAGAAGAAAAAAAAGAAAAAACACAAAACTGAAAGTTGACCTCTGTGTGTTCCATGTTTTCAGGGTAAAGCTAATTTTCGTCTTTTCTTTTGTAAATATTGTGATATGGCATATTTTAGTATCTCTTATCCATCTTGCAGAGTCTAATTCTGAAGTATCAAATGAAGAACTAAAGCAACAACTTCAAGAAGCTCTAGAGGTCAGTAACAGCACCAAATATGTTGGTTTTGAAATCTGCATTTTTTATTAAAAAAAAAAAAAAAAACCAACTAACCAACCTAGCCCTTTTCAGCTGAGCATTGTCTCTGTAAGATGATCAATCAATAGGTAAAAGTAAGGAATAAAACGGTGCTCCTCAGATATATTTCTTAATAGAACATTGTCACAAGAACATGAAAATGTCTGGGAGGACGAACGGATAAGAGTTCAATCCTTTGGTCTAGTTAGTGCTTTTCAGGTGTTTGCTTGTCTTCAACTGCCTTTAGCTTGAGTAATTTCACAGTTTAACAGATTTTTCCTTCCTTATGTAAAGAGGGGAATTAGAGAGCATATCTGGGAGAGAATGAGATCCCACATCCTGTGGGTTTKCTATGTACTTGTGCAATTTAGACATTTTTTAACTCAAAAGATTCTACAAAATGAATTAGAGGATGTTGATGCTAGAAACAGAATATAAAATAGAAATACGAACACTCTGGGACTAGATTTATGTTTCTTACGTTAGAAGAAATTGAAAATTCATGACTCTTTGTTCAGATTATTATTGATTTTATTTGATTGTAGCTAGGCTTTTGTGAAAATGCTGCTCAAGATGCTGTGTGGATTTTTTTTTTTTTTTTTTTTTTTTGGTTCCTGAGATGTGTTGTTGTTTCTTTAGCAAGGCAGAGCTCAAATAATTAATAGTTTATTTTGCAAACATACTCAAAAGAGAAGGAAAAGAATAATTACATTTTTTTTTTTACTCAGTACTTTTCAGATTTTGCTCTAGCACATAATGCTAACATTTCTTTATCAGAAGCTGTTACAGGAAGTTTATGCAAGAGGCAAACGGGAGAAGGTTGTTGCTTGAAGAAAGCAAATTTACATTGCTGCTATGGTTTTGAGAGGGTTATCTTTGCTTTTACTCAGTGTTCCTATTACATTTTGTCTCAGGAAGTTGAAATGTTAAAAGTTGAACTTGAAGCTTCTCAAAGACGGCTTGAAGGAAAAGCTGAAGCCCTAAGAATCCTACAGAGCGTGGTAGGAGTTGTTCTAAAATCTTTTGGTCACTTCACGGTCAAGGAAAGAAAACAAATAAACAAAAAGGCTTTTTTCTTCCCTCTCCCTAAAAGCTTAGGCCCTGCCCAATGCTGTAAATGAGAGCGTTACATCTCTGGGTCTATACAGGAGTATACAGGCTTGTCTGTTAGAATTTAGCACTTTTTCTGTGTGGAACCGTTGCAGTGATTCAAGGAAACTTCAAAGTTGCAGCAAAATCTCATAACTCTATCCTGGAAGAACTAGCAATTTGACTTAAGGAATACTGCCTTTGCAGTCCTTTTATKTTACTGATTTTCTGACGTTAGTGGTTCTGCTGCAAAGCAGAGCTGTTTTCAGTTCGTTATTCCATCATTTTAGAGGAGAGTATGCATTAAATATTAGGTCACTTTCATTCACAGGTTATAGCACTTTTGGTAACTGCCACGTAATCGTTGAAGTTAATTGCTCTCCTTTAAGCTACTCAAATAACCCACTTATGGTTCTGCTGCTTTTTACCCTCAGCGTTCATAGTAAGTTATGCTCAGATCAAGCTATTAGTCTGTAACCTTATCTTTTGGGAGGTGATTTTGTGATGTGGAAAAGACCTAAAGAAGATATGATCTCTTTTCAAATTGATGCTGATGATCTGGAATAGGAAAAACGCAAGTTTGTAATGCGCTGTAGCTGCTTAGTATCTTACAATTAAGAACACAAAGGGTTCCCATGGAGAGAACTGCTGGTGTTTGTAGTTCTTCATGCTCCTGGTTACCCCAGAGCTTTGATTTACAGTGATGTAAAATTGAAAATATGACTCGATTACCGTGTTTGATAAATTTGTGCTTTTTTTACAGGCAGTGTTTAATAAAGCCACTAGTCATACAAAAGCAATGCTTCAGAAAACTGAGGAGGARAAGAGAGCTTTAGAAAAGGTAAGAGTAAGCATTTTCTTTATGCCTGTCCAAAGTTTTAATTTTTCCATGGTAAAATCATAATAGATCATTGCTCCTGGCTTGTTTTATTATGGAAAAAGAGTGGTTGTACTGTTTTCTTTGTTTTTAATTGATACAGATCCAATATTAGTTTGGGTGGGGTTTTTTTTGGGAGAGGGGGAGGAGCAGTTTAAGTATTCATATTCTTCTTTGGTAGAAAGGAAAAATACTGATTTATCGCTTTCTTGATCTGAATATTTTCATCTTTTGTTTTGTACAAGCAATACTTGAAAGATCCTAGAGGTCGTTTTTTGTGGTTTTTTTTTTCCTTCTCTCCCTGTATCTTTGACTGGTCTTTGTCATGAGCAGTGCTTAGTTTATACTGAGTGCTTAGTTTATACTGAGTTGCCTTATTTCCTCAGTATGATTTGTCAACAACGAACTCCCAAATGAGTCTAAGAACAGAGTATTCTAATATCCACTGCCACTGTTAGCTCATTGAACATAGTGTTTGTTGTGTTTGGTACCACATTTATTTAAAATAAAACACACACACACATACACACGCATAATACATGCATATTGTTTTCACTGGCTGCCCAAATGTCTGTCAGTGCCAAACTCAGGACTGGCAGTTCACATCTCTTATGTTCATTGCTGGACTTGGAACAAACTGCGCCTGCTTTGTTTTGTCTCTACAGGAAATAAATACTTTGCAATGGGAAATTGAGTTTGATCAGGATAGATTTAAAAACATAGAAGAGACATGGACAGAAAAATATGACAGGTATTTTACACATGCTATGTTTCCTTGGGGGTTGCATTGAACACTACATATTATCTGTCTTATATTCTCTGTTTCGTATTATCTTTTTCACATTTTCCTAACGTTCTGGATTTGGAAATGGTATTTTTCATGCTAATCACATTTTTTAATGTTTCAATTAAACTACTAAAATTAATTACTSAATTTTGTAGTGTGTGTACAGCTTGTCGTTGCTAGACTGACTTTTCACTTCACTTGCATTATTTTATTGCTTTATTATGTTAGCCGGCTGGAACCAGATTGTCCTTATTTGCTTTGAATGGAAATGAGGCATAAAAAACAACGGCATGTGCATGCAGGTGGAAATACCTTTTTTTTTTTTTTTTTTTTTTTTTCCTGTAGATATGAGCATGAGTAAAACGGAATGTTTTTGAGAGAGGTTGGTTAACTGGTTTTGTGATTAAATAGAGTTTTCTGTACTGACAGCAGGTGTTGCCTCCTTAGGCAAGCAGAAGAAGCCAGAGGCACTAAATAAATAATGCAGTAACAGACATTGAAAATTGACCAGCAGGCTCCACTTACTTAAAGGTGTAAGTGATCTCTCGGGAGTTCAGGCAGCAGAGTTACAGTTATTGTAGTGGAGATTTTTATTTCAAAAATTTCAAACTGGATCCAAGAATAAGCCAATCATTTCAAAATGTTCACTTGTAAGAAGAGTTTTGTGAAGATGAATTGCTTCTTTTTAGTTGCTATTTTACAATTGTCAAAGAATGCCTTTTGAAAAACCCTAATTCTCCTAATTCTCCTAATTTAAAAACACAGCAAGAGTTGCCAATTTTTTTTTTTTTTTTTTGAGTAGCAAAGCGAGTATTACCAGTTGAAAGCTAGAGATGGAAACAAGTCTTTAGAAAGCTGCAAGCAGCAGTAAATCATGAGTTCACTCATGAGATGAGGCAAAATGTGTGTTTGTCCAAATGAAAATGTTTCAGGTTACTAGTCAGCTTTAAACRAAGTCCTGGAGCTGCAGAATGGTGTGTTTAGTGACAGCTGAAGAGCTGTACAATGAACAAATGTAATTGCTTCAAATTGTGGACACTGCCAGTTTTCTGTTTAAGAGGGAAATACAAAAGTGCCAAGGAAAAACATATTGGACATGCACATTGTATGCTCTCATGTGATAAAGCTTAAAAGTGAAGCTGTTCTCTCGAATGGTATTTAAAGATGCAGGAAATGCCCTTTTAAAAATTAAGACCAGAGCCTTATTGTCATACATTCAATAATAATCTTATATTTTAAAGTAGCAACTTGCTAGCAAGTATTTCAGGAGCTCACAATTATGTATTTTACCAGCAGTGTCTAATGGCAATGTGGTACTTGAGCTTCTCTTCATTAAGCTCTGTAGTTTTGCACATGTTATGTTTACATGTGAATGATTTCTTTCTGCAGTCTTTGCAGCAATCCTAATTCCATTTTGCAGAAACATTCAGTGAAGTGTTTTAATAGGCCAGAAACTTCTTTCATTTGTATGTCCTTTTCAATAATTATTTTAAAGGTGACACAGCCTTTCTCTAATTTCTGCAGGATATATTGTGAAAATGCAGCTCTTAAGGAAACATTGAAACTGAGAACAGAAGAAGTTAAAACTCTTAAATCTGAAAATGCAAGTAAGCCACCAATAGCTTTTCCTCTTAAAAYGCTGTTTCTCAGGAATAATTGAGAGCTTAACTGTGACTACAGCTTTCTGCTAGGATAAGTCCTTGTGTTAATGGCAGCTGGTGTTAGCTGGTTCCTGGCAGCAGGAACCCCCTTTGAATAGACGGGTAGTGCCTGTTCTCCTTGTCACGCTGTCTCTTAAACTAAAAACTTCATGGAACAATAGCAAAAGTTGGGTATGCAGCTTAGAGAGTCCTTCAGATCTGAAGGAAATATACATATCTTATTGACTTGGTGACGCACTGGGTGTGGAGGGAAACAACCACTCTGTGTTCCTTAATGCCCTGGAAGAGGGAACACCGGGCCAAGGGAGCCACAGAAGCCACAAAGTGTTCCTGCTACAATCCAAATTACCGTGAGGTGGCTTTAGCAACTCTGCTTACAGATTCCAAGAGCATGAACCATTTGAGCTATTTAGCTTGTCTTTAAAACGGGTGCTGCTGGTAGTGCAGAGATCTCCATTCCCTTATTTTCAGCTGCTTTTCCGTATTTTCAGCTGCTTTTCCGTATTTTCAGCTTCTTTTCCGTATTTTCAGCTTCTTTTCCGTATTTTCAGCTTCTTTTCCGTATTTTCAGCTTCCCCATAGCTTCAAAAAAAAACCTGTAATACATAAATATTTTCCTAGTGTTGTCGTTTTGTAAAAGACCAGCTGGCTTAGTTGGAAGTGAAAAAAGAGGTTGGCACGTAATGCTGCAGAAAAGTAGTATGTGAGGCAATGTATCTGTAAACAGGTCATCTCCAGGAAAATATGGAAGGCAATTGGGATCTGAGTTTTCAGATCTGTATAGTCTCCTCGTAGTCCCAAATTGATGCTTAAACCATAAAACTGCTTCATTCAAATGTAAACTCRGTTATTGAGAGATCAGAACTGACAGCATTTAAATATTCTCATCGTTTCCTAGTTTTGAATCAGCAGTGCTTGGAATTTCTTGCAATGCTTGATGTGAAACAACAGAAGGTTATCCAAGAAAATATGTCCTGGAATAAAAGTGGCCTTACAGATATTACAGGTCTTGAAGTAAGTATGGAGTCTGTTTTTTCATGACAACTAGCTCAAAGATATGTTTACATACAAAGTACATATTGCTGCAATTTGCTTATTGATTATTTAACTGTTTCTTTGGACTTGATTCTAGCAAATTAAAATACGTCTTTGTGTGCCTCTGAATCAGGTTTCTAGTTTTTGGTGCTTTATAACTTCTATTTTACAACAGAAGAGTAGACAGAAGCAGCATGAAGACATCTTTCACAGGCCACCATGCTTCTTTGTCTTCCTAATCTTTTAATTCCTAATTCCTTGCCTCTATGTTTCTTTAATGAGTTGGGGAAAAAAAAAAGTAGCTAATGAGGTCTGCAGAGAGCAACATAAACAGGCTGACAATTTTTGCCTTTAGGTTATCTTTATTTAAATATTTAAAGTATTTTATTTYAGCAAGTTTCTGATTGCTAGGAAATGCCCTCGTAACCTCACTGAGCTGCCTTGGAACATAAGGTGAATCCAAGAATACCAAGAATCCATCATATACGTTGCAAAGTCGTATGTCCCAGACTGCTGTTTAGAAGCCTGTATCCCAATTTTTCTTCGCTTACAAGATTAAAAAAAGCAAACTATGATATGAAACGTTAATTAATGTTTGTGGAAGTGTTCAAGCTGGCAAGAGCACACTRTGAGGCTTTCCATATTTCTTTGATATCCACTTCAAAGGGATAGCTGCTGGGGATCAGTATTTACAGGGATTATTTTAYGTACGGATTTACTGGAATGTGGTCATGGCTCTTCGTGTGTGTGAGAGCACACTGCTTATCTCATCTCCATTTTTTTTTTTTTTGAGCGTTTCCATGTGGGTAATAGAAGTAACCACATGAATAAGAACTGAAATTTTTAAAGCCTATCTCCTGTGGTGCCTTTATGATGGTGGGCTTGTATCTGAATAGACAATAGGCATAAACAATATCCCCCAAATGCTATGTTTGGGATAGATTGGAGATTAGTATTAAAAAAAAATGCATTTCCTGCTTGTCATTTTGAGTCAGAAGAAGTCACGCATGAATCCTTATGGCCGGGTTTTCCTGGCCCTTACACTCCTGTGGYGATTTCAGGATGTTTTCTTGGTAGTTGTCTGGCACCTCTTGGGTTGTTTTCTGTGTGCAGGTAGTTAGTTAATTGGTGATTTGGTTTTGGATTTAAAGCTGGCGGTTCTYGGAGCCTGCACCTGCAGCACTTCGGGAGGGCAGCCCTGTTCCTGCGCTAGAATGTCAGCGGCAACTCGGAAGCAGCTGCTCCAGCTCAAGCAAGAGGTAATGCTGCCTCCCCTGAGTGGGAACAAGCAGAGTGGGGGAGCTCAAAGCCAAATAAAACCAGAAGCAGCCTCCTTGCAGCTTAGGTGGAATAGTGCGTGCTTTTCAGAAATACCTACTGTTTGCAAGACTCACACTTTTGCTGGTAGAGAGCTATAATGTAAGTGAGTATTACTTAATGAGTTTACTTAATGAGTTTGCTAAATCCTGTAATATTTAAAAAACTTTTCCTTTTTCCTTTTGGCCGTATTTTTTAAATATAAAAATTAGAGACTCAGAAAGCGTCACTTTGCAATCTGAGTGTAGACTATCACTGAAAGGCACGACTTCCTTTTTTTCTTGGCGGTGCATTCTACCTTTTCCCTTCAGTTGACGTCAGCATTTATAATGCTTTATAGACAGCCAGATCGTGGAGCTAGTCTTGCTAAAAGCTAATTACATAAAACTCAAGTCAATAAAATGATTTTTAAGCTCTCAAAGTTTTGAATTTAATTAAACTTACAGTTTTAAATATTCTGGATTTCCTTGCATATGGTCCTAATGCAGATGTTCCACCTGAAATGCTAATTTTGGAAGTAATTACTGTAATGTTCCTGTGATATTTCCATTTAAAAATGTATTTCTTTAGGTAGCAAGAAAGCATTTGGTTTGGTTTCTACCATTTCCCTGATGAGATATATTGAAAATTTCCCTGGCTTCCCTTCAATCCCCTTTTGCTTGTACAGGCCTGCCTTCAGCATCTCTACTATGAACTAATAACATAAATTTTCTGACTTGCGTTAATGGCTTCATCCTCTTTCTTAATCTACCTTTTAAATCTGTTTCTTTCAAATTGCTTAATATACTTCTTTTTTTTCTCAATTATAACCAGATTGAGCTTCTAAAGAAGAGTAAAGATGAAGCTTATATAATGGCAGATGCTTTCAGAATTGCATTTGAGCAGCAGCTAATGCAGAGAAAGGACCAGGCCCTGAGGCTGGCAGAAGTGAATAAGATTAAAAAGGAAACAAAATTTATAAGCTGGAGACGTCTGAAAGAGGATGGTAAATGGGCATGTTGTGTAATTGTTCCTAATGAATAGAGAAAAAGCTAGCTGACAAGTAGCACAGGCAAGCTCTGTTGCTGATCAAATGTTTGGCAGTGGTTTAATTGCTGGCTGAGGCTTCTGAAGAGCCAAGAAAATGGGAACAAGGTTGTATGCAAACTGGAAGTACTTTAAACAGTGTGTCATGTAGTTCTGGCAGAAGCTTTCCATGTGTGGTACAGGATATCTGGGTGTAAGTGGAATATTACAGTATTCATTATATAACTCCAGTCTTATACATCTGTAGTCTGCAGTCTAGGCTTTAGAGTAGCCCTTTTCTTCATACATTCATGAACTATTTAATTCTGTGTTTCAATACATACATTTCCTAAGTTGAATGTGCAGTAATTTTTTTTTTTAAGTTTTAGAAAGTTTTAAGAACTCTTATCAAAAATCTTTTTTTCCCCTCAGTTTACCAAGTATGTTTAAAAAAAATTACAAAGAATTATTACTTCACTAGATGTGTTTTTCATATAAAGGAAAAAGAAAACTTCTCTATTTGCCTGAATTTAGGAAAAGACCATTTAGTCGTTAAGTTATGATAAGGGTGGTGCTGTCTGCAAATTGTTATATATACTAGAAGAAGTCATGACTTGCATTGTCCCCTTTAGAGGGGGTGGATCAGTATCCTGGTTTGCTACTGTCTGTTTTATCCCAAAGTAACTTGTTTTTGTGTGATATTAGAGTTTGTGTCATTATATTTCAGACAAAGTATAACTTTTTTTTTTCCTTAGGACACGTCAAGTTGCAAGGAAACAAGAAAAGCCTGGGGCAGAAATTATCAGGTCTGCTGTCTTCAGGTGTGGACTGTAGGAGAGTTGAAGAGCTGGACAATCCTCATGAAATCCTTAAGATGTTAATAGATTTGGTTAGTATTTTTCTTTTTAACGGTTCAGCATGAGTACTTAGGAGAAGAAATACAACTTCTTTGACTACTTTGTTCTTAGCTTACAAGCTAGTTTCGTTGTTTTTTTTTTTTTTCTAATGCAGTTAAATGACAAAGAAGAGGCTTTGGCTCATCAGAGAAAAGTGAGTTACATGCTGGCTCGTGCAATAGAGATGAAAGAAGATGCTTCAGAAGAAAATAAAGAAAATGCTCTGAGGACTTGTCAGTGTAAAGCCTTGCAATCCCAAGGGTCATCTAATCTTGTATACACTTGCAGCAAAAACCTCAATTCTCAAAACAGTGTTTGTTCTATTTCCAATACAGAAATGTTTGGAAACTCAGTAAAAATGCTTCGAAAATCACATTCTTGGCCATCAGAGACTATTCACTATGAAGAAGATCATTCATATGAAAAAACAGATGAAACTGTTGTGATCTCAATATAGTCAGCAGTGGGATAAAACTTTTTTTTTAATCTTTTGGAAATGCCAAAAAAAAAAAAAAGAAGCCTGCAGAAAATGACTTCTTTAGGTACTAATTAGCATTTAACTTTTACAAATAATTTTGGTTAACATAAAACAAAAGGGGGGGGAAAGGCAGCACCCCACTCCCCCCCGGAAAATCTGTTTTATCAACGTTTCCAACATTTCCTTTTGGCCTTGAGAGGCTTCCGCTGGGTACAGTCATGACAAGAAATTTTGTCCGAATTAGGAAAATGACTTAAAATTAATGTAGATTATAGACTTTTTGCTGTAAGGAAAGGTTATGCTTTTATATTTTGTCCCTTGTAGAACAGCTGATGCTCAAAATAAATTTCATTTGAAAAAATTTGAAAGTTACTTCTACTTTTTTTCTGTCTTTAGCAGGTACTGCAAAGAAGGTATACATAAACTATGGAAAATGCTGCATTACACCCGTCTTATATAGTTCCCTAAATATGACACTAGCACTGAACACATTTCATAAGCCTGTGAATGTAAGAAATGGGAGACTGCAATTTGTAGGCTGCAGTAGACTACTGAATTTGAGTGTGATTTYGGAGATTGACTCTGTTTTTCATATTTGATTTTCATATTTGGATTATTTACTGAGTCATTAGAACTCAAGAAAAATCTTTCTTTAAAGCACAATTCCAGTCTAGAATGAGACTTCATTTTTGTCTTCAGCTTGTTCTTCCTGCTGAACAAAAGACTCCTTTACTTTTAATCAAATATTGTTTGAATGTTAGAAGTTTTTGGTTGTAAYGTGACAAGTTCTCTCAAGGCAGATGTTGTTGAATACCAGAAAATGTGACTTGCTGCTCCTCATGGAATCACCCATTTACTAATTAGTGAGAAGCTCATTATTCACTAATCAGTGGAGAAGCTGGAAGAACAACAATTATTGCCAAGCTAGTTATCTGCTCACTGATGAGTACTTAGCCATCTTCACCCGTACGTAAGGATGCTTGTGAGGTAATGGCAATCTGATAAAGAAAGCCACGTACAGACTTTARGATTTTTTTACTAGGTAAGACTATCTGGAATAATTAATCATTCCTATTCAAGATCTAGTGTGAAGGTCTTGCATGGAGTCCAAACCTTTTTCAATAGGTGGCTCCTAGTTTATTGGTAGAATAATTGGTAGATTTGTCTGCCTAAAAGGCTRACTTGGCGAATGGTCCAGTCTTTGTAACGTTTAGGTATGATAACAAATTAAGTTCTTTTAGCAGACAAAAAGTGGAGCTTGAATTCATCCTGGTGTTCAGCTTCGTGGGTGCAGATGGACGTTAAGATGTGTTTCCAGGGCTGGATGGAACTGCCCAAGATACCAGCCCTGGCTTGTGCTGTTCATCTTGATGCCATGAGGAGCCACTGTTGCTGYAAGAGGGGCAAGACGTATGTGGGTGAGTGAAACGATCGCTGTGTGATACAGACTTCACTTGCAAAGATGATGCTATTGACATCAAAGGAAAATACATTTGGATCTTGGTCCTGAACTGGGGAATGCGTCCTCTGGCAAGGCCTGTATGGTACCCAGAACCAGGATGCAATAAGTTCTGCTGTATGCTCATTTATTTTCAGACATTTTATTGACAGAATGGGTGAAAGGCCTATCAAAGGCAGTTCACATTGTGTGGTTGATACTGKCTTGAAGTGTATAAAGAAGCTTCTTTTATTCTGAATGTACATCATCTTGAAGTTTTGAACTATTCTCCRTTTTTCCCTCTATTACCATTGTAAAGAAGAGGTGGGAGGAGTAGATGTTGCATACCCATTTTCAGAAGGTTTAGTTGGCATAAAGCTGCTGATATTCACATCAAAACATGTTCTTTTTCTTACCTAAGCGCAGTTGCATAAAAGGGAGATAAGTGGCAGAAGATATGGCAGATGGAGTGGCATTAATTTTGATCTCAGTGGCAGGGGTGGAGAACAGCGACTATATCTGTCATTCAGACACCATCTGCTGGGTTGCATGAGAAAGCGATGGATTTTTAAAGAAAAGGCTTTTTTTTTTTTTTTTTTTTTTTTTTTTTTTTTTTTTTTCCCCTCCCCTGACCTTTGGGTTCCTTACTTACAGAAAAAAGAAACTGAAAAAAAATCTGTCTTGTGTGATGGTAGTGAGTACCTGCAACCTACCAACAATATGCAATAAATGTGTGAATTATATACTTAGAAGCAGCAGGTCTCAATTACTTACGAGACCAACTGAGCAAGAAGAGTCGAGAGCTTTGGGAGGCTGTTCTCCGTGTAACTTCTTTAAGTGGAAGAAACATGTGTAGTGACTGGGCGTCTTACCCTGGCATATGCTTTTGTGTATTGTCAGTGTAATTAAAGTGTCATGGTGGAGGCCCTGTACGTTTTAGCTAGACTGGCTCTGGCTCCAGCCACGCTGAGGTAGCTCAACTTTCGTTAACTTTTTTGTGTCCCTACCTCTTACTGAAGTACAAGTTTGTGTAAATATGGGCTATTAAGACATACAAATTGAGCTAACTGTACAAATTGACATACAAATTGAGCTAACTGAAAGGATGGATTTCTA